ATCTGATAAATATAATTTAGATAAAATCAAAAAAGTATAAATAATTTTAATTTAATAAAATATTAATTTAAATTTGTTGCAAATATTTTTCTAATTATTTATAATATATTTTAATTAATTAGAAACCTATTAAAAATGATAAAAATATTTTAAAAAATTTTGAAAAGGTTTGATAATTTAATATAATTTTAAAAAAATTAATATAATTTAATATTTAGAAATTATTTTAAACTAATTAAAAGGTTAAAAGTTGGTAAATAATATAAAAATATGGTTTGAAATTACTAAATAATATTAAATAATTTTAAAATAATTTGAATTAGTGTAATTAGATTTGGATAAAGAAACAGAAAGTGAAAAAAAACTAAAAAAAAATAATTCTAAATTTATATATTCTGATTTTTCATCTTTGGGTGATGATAATAATAAAAAAAGATATGGATGATAATAAAAAAGATACAAATAATGGTAGATAAAAGTTTTTTGTTTATTTTTTTATATATAAATAATACTACTATTTTTTTTATTTTTATATATTTCTTTAAAATAAGATTAGCTTTTTTATATGTAATATTTAAAAATTTTAAATAAAATAAAATAATATAGTTTAAACTATAAAATTTATAAAATTTATTTATTTGAATAAATTGATTTTTTGATTATTAATTTTAGTATAATTCAATCAAATTTAAATATAGCAAATAAATCAACAAAAATTCTAATTAAATATATTTTAATTTATTATATTTTTAGATATTTAATTTTTTTAAAATAATTCAAAATCTGAATTATTTAAATTTTATTGAAAAATTTGAAATGATTCAATTTTTATATATTATCAAATTATTATTCATTTATTTTAGAAAAAGTTTTGATTCTACCCAGGGTGGTTACAAATTTTTACCACCCCACCGTAATACTATCATTTAATTTGTACAACCATAACTAATTAAGGAATCGTTAAATAGTATTATATAGTACAGCATAATGTATATCATGTAGTATCATATAGTATAAGATAGTAATACGCGTATGCATAACGACATCATTTGTTTATCACTTTGTGCAAATTATAGTTCTTTACTAAGCAAATATTTGCTCCTGTGCCTTTTAAATAATTGGTTACCAAACACAAATTACAACTTTTTATATTAACATACATATGTACATACGTACATATATATTTGTTTTGGTTCTATGTAATATCTAAATAACAATGGCTAACCAAGAAGCATCAGCATCGAAATCTGCTATTTCAAAGAAAAAGCGAAAAAATTTTTTTCAAGAACTTCAAATTAGTGATAATTTAAAAAGTCAAGCAGAAGAATTAGAAGTTGGATATAAATTTGACAATTGGGAACATGTAAATCAAGTATTGTACACTTACGCCAAAATAAAAGGCTTTGTTTGGAGATTACAAAATACTTATTATCGTGTTGATAAAACAATTAGCAAAAAAGTATTTGAGTGTCATCATGCAGGCAAACCATGGATTTCTAACGAAAATAATACTACCTCTTCTCGTGTAGATTGCACTTGCTATATTAATATTAATTGGCCAAAATCAGATCCACATCCTCAAGTAACAACTTTTGAATCTAAACATACTAATCATGATCTTAACTTGGTAACAACTAAGTTTGCACCACAATATCGAAGTTTATCTGAGCCAGTTATAGATCGAATCAAGTTTTATATTAATAATTCATCTGGATTAGGTAGTTTTATAATTCAAAATCTTTTAATAGCTAAATTTCCACAGCAAACTTTTTTAGAGAGAGATGTAATAAATGCAATTCAACGTTATAAGCAAGATTCTTGTAATAAAAATAGTGATCCAAACAATGATGTATTTTTATTACTTAATGCACTTGAAAGCT